AATACTAAAGACTTAGGTAATTAGTACCAAATGAAAACAATCCATTAAATTCCTGTAAATATTGAAGTAAACTATGAACACTTTCTGCTGTCAGTCATGAGAGTTTAGATGGTCACATTTTTAGACCAGTACACGCTTATTAGACTATTATAGAAAAAAAGAGACTATAAATAGTCATAATTGGAAACAGTGCCATGGAGGTAGTTGGTTGTACTAAGAAACTCTATAACAATCATCAAAAAGAAGAAATGACATCAATCTTATTCAATTTCTAGGGAATAGAAAAAAAAATTAAAAACACCTCTCAATTTTAGATAGTAAAATTGTTTTATGTAAGTATGATAGGACTTAATGAAATTCTAAAATTATAAACTAATTTTTTGATGAACACAGAGGCAAAATTCTAAGTTTTTCATTATTGGATACAGTTATGATTTGGAAAGGAGAAATGATTTTAATTACAGTGTTTATATATATAAATCTAAAATAATAAAGCAATGCGTTTACAAGGAAACTTAACAAAGATACTAAAAGGTCTATGTGAAAATTAATTTTGTACTGAAGTAGAAAATAAAATTAGATTGTCAATGAACAGTATCACCAATGAACTATTAAATACAAGCTGTAAAATGACTATGCAATAAACCACTATTGGTTAGGAAAAATTAAGGAAGTTTTCAGGTAACAGGAATGTATCATGTTCACTGGAAGATATTTTTTTCTAACTTTTTTTATTGTGCTTTTAAAATTTCATACAGTATTTCCCACTCACATCCAGACCCCCTCCCCATTCCGTGCCTCTCCCTCCCCCACCAAACTCTATGCACTCTGCCATACATGCTGAATCCTATTCATTCAGGTGTTTGTATCCAAATGTCCTTCAGTGTAAATGCATCCACTGGAGTCTAGTCAGCCCATCCAGTAGTTGTATATAAGTCATACTCTCCCTCACCCAGTAGCAACCAGTCTCAAATAGTTCTCTATCTAGTACTGACCTGCCAACTATTGGTCACCTCCCCTTTGGACGTCCCATTGTTTAACTGAGCTGACATGGGTCCTGAGTTTGATGCCATTGCTGCCACAGGCTCACATGATCAAGCCTCCAGTGGCCTGGAAGCCTCCACCTCATATGTTCGTGAACCAGCCGTGACTCTTACAATCTTTCCACCTCCTCTTCCTCAGTGGTTCCTGAGCCGTGGGTGGGTGAGGGTCCACATAGGAGCCCCATCCTACACTCTACAGTCTCTAAAACTTGGCCAGTTGAGGCCTTCTGTGTGTAATGCACACAGAATATTTTAAAAATATTTTATTGTTTTTATTTTATGTGTATGAGAACACCCATCTCATGTAATGCCCATGGAGGTCAGAAGAGGGGGTCAAATTCCCCTGGAACTGGAGTTAGGGACGGTTGTTAGCTGCCAGGTGGGTGCTAGGAATTGAACCTGGGTCCTTTGCACGAGCAGCCAGTGCTCTTAATCACTGAACCATCTCTCCAGCTCCAGATGATTTATTTTAAGGTTGTCATTTGTGTCAAAATTCAGAAAATTGACTTAAAAGTGACATGATATTGAAAAATTGCTAAATAAATGTTTTTTTTTTAAAATTTAAGATAGTTGAAATATAGTATAAGATAAAAAGGCCAAATATAATTTGAATTCACTTTTAAATTTTAATTTTGTGGGTTGGTAGAAGTAGGTACTGGCTTTAGTTTTGTTATTGTTAGTTTGTATAAGCAGAGGTTATAATTATGTCAGGAATATATGACAGAACAAGGAAGGGGTAATCTACATGTTATTTTCTTTTGGAATAATTATTCTTAATTCTCTGTAATTCATCAAATTGTTTAGATGATTGTGGTTGACATCATGCCGATTATTGCATTGGTAAGTTACTTTGTGTTTAGACATTCGATTTTTTGGTTATAATTAATTTTTTATGTATTAGAAACATTCAGAAATGTAGTTGTCTAGGTTTTTGCTAGGATGCTACAGAGCCATATTTCCTCTGAACATTTAATTTAATGTCATACAAATCTGGGTTGACTTTATTTTAAAACCCACTGGTTGGAGGATAGTTTTCTTGTAATCAGAATCTTTTGGGACACTCAGTTCAGGACTTCAGGGTCCTCCATGACCTTGGAGTCACTGAAAATCAGAGTGCCCTCCTAAACTACCCCGTAGCCTCCTTGCAATTCTGTTGCCTGTTGGTCAGTTCTGTGCTTCTTTTGGAGCCTTTTCTTTCTTCAACACATTGTAACGTTTTTTCTATATGAATTATTTTCAAATTCCTTCCTTCCACTCCCAAGCAAAACCTACTCACCTTTCAAGAGTAAGTTCTGAGCTGAGCTTCTTTTATTATGAAGAATTATCTCATTTTGTCAACAGTCTGTGTCTCTCTCACTGCAATGATGTTCCATAGCACTTCCTATCTGATCCATTTATTTCTGTTCTTCATTGTACTGAATCTTATTAGAGTCACATTTCTACAGATTTTAGGAGTTGGTAGAAATTTAGTGACTAAGCAGATAGAATTCTGAAGAGATGAGATAATTTTACAGCTTGGTATAGCAGATCGGTATTCAGCATAGAAGGATTCTCTCTGTCTCAATTGTTTGGGATTACTTTATTTACATATGTTTAGTTTTCTTAACTAAAGTGTGAGTGAAGAATGTGCTCCAGCTTTTTATAGAAGCTATGACAAGGTAGGTTTCACCATAGAAAGTCATGGTTTTTGGAAGACCTGCATTTAAATATCCTTGAATGAAAACAGGAATTATAGCACTTAGCTAGTAATACATTCTTATTTTGAGGCATTAAATGGGATAATGACAATGAAAGCATACTGAAGTGTTTGAAGGTTCACTAGGTGTCACATGCCTTTCCTCAGTCCTCATTTTAGCTCCCTAACATAGCTCTAGTCTGTAATCTAATAGTTTTGGTTTGAATCCTTTTTCTACCAAGGACTCCATCATCTTAAGCAAGTTAGTCCACTTCTCTGCAACGAAGGTGTGCTGGATAGCTTCAGTTGTCAACTTGACCCTCAGCTGAGGAGTTACCTGGCTTGTAGGCATGTCTGTGCAGCATTCTCTTGATTGTTGAGTGATGTGGTAGGGCCCAGCCCACTGTGGGTGGTGATATCCCTGGGAAGGCGGTCCTGGGTTGTATAAGAAAGCAGACTGAGCACAGACTAGGAGAACAAGCCAGTAAGCAGCACTGCCTCATGGCTTCAGTTCCTGCCTCCAGGTTCCTGCCCTGAGCTCTTACCCTGATGATGATGAATTGTAGGGCAAAACAAACCCTTCCCTCCCCAAGTTGGTTTTGGTCACTGTTTTATCACAACAAGAAACCAAAGTAGGACAGAAGGTTTCTGAATTTGTTGTATAGATTTTTAAATATTTTATTCCTATTGGCACCATGAGGACTGTATTACTATAGCATATGGCTTCTGGGACATATTGTATTCTTGTCAGTGGGAAATAATAGCAAGAGCCCTATTAACCAGTGTTATTATTTTAACTGTCCTTCCTAGCTTGCTTGAGGCTGTCATTATTTGGCAAATGCATACTGAAAACAAGTTATACAAATTGCCTGTTTCAGAAGCAGCTAAGTCAAATGCTAATCCAGTGGGTTTTGATTGGAGAATCCTATTTCAAATTAGGTTTTGTTGTCTTTTTCCATCCATGTTGAATGATTCCTTGCCTGTCAGCTCTAGAGGCTCCTCAGCACCTCAGCTCAGGCTTGCTGTAGAGGAGAACTGCACAGACTTTGGGAGAATGATGCACCCAAAGTTCCAGAGGTGAATGTCACTGTGTCATCTATCTATCTATCTATCTATCTATCTATCTATCTATCTATCTATCTATCTATCTATCTATCATCTATCTATCTATCTATCATCTATCATCTATCTATCTATCTATCTATCTATCATCTATCATCTATATCTCTAACCCCTATCTATTGGATATTGATTCCTTAATTCTTGGTTATTGGTTGAGGTCTACTCCAAAGGGGTTAAGTCCAAGAACTTCTATCATCTATCTCTATCATCTATCATCTATCTATCTATCTCTATCGCTATCTATCATCTATCTATCTATCTATCTATCATCTATCTATCATCTATCCATCTATCATCTATCTATCTATCTATCTATCTATCATCTATCATCTATCTATCTATCAC